CTAGCTAATAATCATATGCATGATCCTAGTTCATGTTAAGATGGCTAATGCAACACATGCAAGATGCAACTAAGATAGGCTCGGCTATTCTACAATGACATGTCAAATGCTACAACTAACACGTATTTAATTTGGAATTGAAAATACAATGCAGTTAGTATGATGCGCCGAGCCCGGTGTATGCAAAATAGATGAATGAATGCAAACATGCTATCATACTGTATGCTAATTGAAACATGCCCTAATCTAACCATCATAAGCTGGTAAATAAAAGGGAGAAAGACGTGGGGTTGGAAGACATACATCACACACACGCACACTTATTACAACATTGCCCTCGCGCAGAGGGTCCGAATAAATATTACAGTCCGAATAATAAACACATTAATTATTACAGAATTTCTAATTAATTAACAGAATGAACGCAAAAGGAAAGGTGGCCACAGCCCCTGCCTCGGGATGTGCGAATGATGCATGCTCGAACCCATCTCGCCCGGAAAGTCCGTACCATACAACTGCCGCCCCGGTTTACACTACCCTGCTTATCTGAAAATTGCCAAAGTTCTGGGATAGGTCCCCTGAACACTGTGGAACACCATCGGCTGAAGGAAATGTCCACTGGCCATTGAAAATATCCATCGGCTGCTGGTGAAGCTACCGGCCCAAGAAGGATTGCCGGTCGGCACTGAATACTACCGGTCGGCAGAAAATTCCTGCAGAATCTGGTTTTTGACAGCAACAAGAACAGACAGTGTATGGCATGGAATTTCAAGCAAGTGTATGCTTGGCCACTCTCCCAATCATGTAATGGACTCAACGGAGTATGCCCCTCGACCCTCGGGCCATCAATTACGCATGATGGCCTAAGAGGCCAAGTTTTGCAATTCAATGTAAAAAATGCAATGCACACAAAACATACAAGAGACCTAACCTCAATCATGGTTGGTCAAGAGGCGAGGCAATGCACAACAAAGCACATGCGACCTAAGCATGCAAGCAAACATACAAACATGCAATATAACTACATGGCATACACAATGCTAGCAACATAACATGCACAACGCATTGAAACATGGCATACACAATGCAAAATGGACTTACACCAATGTGAGTGGACCTGAACCACACCCACATCAGTGGCCATTAGATGAAAATGAGACTCTCGAAACGCGTGCACGCATGCACGCATGCACGCAAACCGAGGACCAAACCTAAGGCATAGTATGCAACTCTAACAAGGCATGGCGAGGCATGAAATATGGCATACAGGCATGTAATTTCAGCACTGAAATGTGATATAAAACAGCCCCGAATCATGGAAACATGGCACCCGATGCATGAAATGGTACCCGAAATGCAAAATTAGGCATACGCAATGGCCTACAGCTATACAAAGCATGCATTATTTGATCATGACATGTGAAGAAAGATTCAAGGCAGCCCTAAAACAAGCATGTTTTCAATTTTAAGCAAGGCCAAACAACAAACACAAATAGGGAAAAACTAGCATGCAAAAATGGCCCTAAATGTGAGGTAATGAAGCAAGTCACAGCTGCTGGCCCCAAAAAGCTGAGGGTCCTTCAACAATGTTGAAGAGGGACCCAAAATATGGCATTTTACAGTTGGTAGCCAGACCCAAAACAGCATATATACAAGCCAAAAATACTATGCAAAATATGGCCAAAAAGAGATATATAACACAAAGGATAAAAAGGATGCCTCAAAAAATGAAATACCCTTAATGAAATATGAAGAGGGGTTCAAAATAAGATTGTTTTAAGTCCTGAAAAGAGCCCAAAAACAGAAGCACAATAGGCTAACAAATCATGCAAAAATGGAGCCCAAAAGGGGATATAAAGGAAAGTGGAAGATAGAAGCTTTAAACAGCAATGAGCCCTTCAACAATGTTGAAGAAGGGCTCAAAATAAGCTACTTCACAGTTTATGACATGCCTCAAAACAATTTATACATAGGCCAAAAATACTACGCAAGATAATGGCATACAAGGGAGATAATCAAGCAAGTGCAACAAGGAGGCCTCAAACAGTGAGAGGCCCTTAAGAAAAAGTGAAAAGGAGCTCAAAATAAGCCTAGTTCCAGTTAAGGTCAGAGCCCAAAACAGCAAGCATGTATGGCTAAGAAATGATACAAGATATGGACCAAAAAGGGGGAAATGGAACTTACCCTTGAAGACAAGTCTTTGGTAGCCTCTTGGACCAAGATGTAGCACTCCTAGGCCTTGAAGAACATCCTCCAGCTGCTGGAATGAAGGATGGAAGGGTGGGGGTATGAGGTGTAGTGTAAAATGGTGCAAGGATTTTAGGGTTTGGAGGCTTGGATGAGATAGATATATGGAGGATTGTATGTAATGCTCCAGCTGGTTTTCTAACCTGGTATAAGGAAGAGGAGAGCTTCCTTTATAGAGCCAAGAGACTAAAGCTTCTCTTAGAAACTTCAAACCAAGAGCAAAGATCCTCCATACACGTGTATAGAGGATCCAGTCTGTGCCCTCCAGCTAGCACAGCTGGCATCCACTCAATACGTAGAATGCTCCGGAAGGTCGTCGGCCAGCAAAAATGATCGGTCGGCTAAAATAAATGGCCGGTCGGCACAATAAATTTCCGGTCGGATAAATAGATTGCCGACAGATGCTTCCAAGGTCAAAAAGTGGCCGGTGGGTGTTTAGATTGAAGCCCCGGAAGTTAGCTTTCCAATGGCGCAAACCTTGCATTAAAATTCCTCCTGTGCAAAAAGTTATGCCCTTTTTGGTGAAGCCGCGCAGATTCGATCCAACCGGAATGATGCCCAACTTCAACTGATCATATCTCCCCCACCCGGACTTGGCTCTAGGAGATTCTTGAGTGGAAAATGAAGCCCCGAAAGTAAGATTTCCAGTAGTGGTGGCCTCATAGCTAGGATCCAAGTATGCAATTGAATAAGCCCGATTCAGCGAGGGCTGCTCAACTCTCTCTTACTCGGATTCATGCCGAACTTCTCCCAAACTAGTTTTCTCCTCTCCTTTCCTCTTTTCTTCAACTCCAAACCCCTAAACAAAGTGTTTTGAAAGATTTTTCAAAGATTTCATCTCTCTTTCATTAATTTCCACTTTGTCCTTGCTCGGTTTATCGAAAAGCGCATCATTTGACAAAATGTGAGCCTCGGAATATTGTAGAAACTTTATTTCAAAAATGTTTTGAAAGAGAGGGTTTTAAGGTCTAAAAACCATCCAAAATAACTTTGGTCCAAAATGGGGTGTGAAGTTGAGATTTGTCTCTCTTCTTTCCGAAGAAACTGAACCTTTGCCCTGCACACCTGTCTCCACCAAGTAAACCATCAGTAACGCCCAAGTCTTATGGGCTGTCCAAAATGGGGTGCCTACAATAAACAAGTTTGAACGAACAACCCCAACGAGTTTAAATTGAATTGTACTCCTCCAAAACCAATATATAACAACTCCAAAGACTCCTAGAAAAAAAAATAAAGGAATTAAATACACCTTCCAAGAGATTAAAGCATCCAAGTGTTACAACATCCCTACCTTAGGAAATTTCACCCTCGAAATAATATCCATTCTCGCCAAGATAACAATGTATGGCAACAATAGCATATTTATTCAATCCTTAACAACTCCCAATATGACATTGCAATATGCAACAACGATATACTTATCAATCCTCAGCAATGTCGCAATCAAGTAATATATATATATATATATATATATATATCAATTTGATTCCAAGAAGCAAAGACAAGGAAACACTAGAAGGTTTTAGTTCATTTCCAATTCATCAAGTGCAGGGAAGGAACAACAAAACAAGTACATCACAAGTTAGAAAGTAAGTCTAGATACTTCTCGCGAATCTCAGCTTCACGCTCCCATGTAGCTTCCTCCACACCGTGATGGTGCCATAACACTTTAACTAAGGGAATTGTTTTACCCCTTAAGACGTGTTCTCTAGTATCTAAGATTCGGAGTGGTTTTTCTTTATAAGACACATCTTTGTCTATCTCAATCTCCGCCCAATCTAACACATGAGAGGGATCGAGTTTGTATTTACGAAGCATAGACACGTGAAATACATTGTGGACTCTGGAGAGTTGTGGAGGCAATGCAGGACGATATGCAACTTCTTCAATCCGTTCAATGATGTCAACGAGGCCGATGTATCTAGGTGATAGCTTTCCACTCTGGCCAAATCTCATCGACCTTTTGCTAGGAGATATCTTCAAAAAGACATGGTCACCTACTTCAAAGGATAAAGGTCGTCTTCTTCTAGCTACATAGTTCTTTCGCTGGCTTTGAGCAGTGACTAACCTTTTCTAAATGAGAGCTATTTTCTCTATAGTTTCACAAACTAGATCTTAGCCTAGCAAGGGTGAATCACTTTAGTCCAACATACCGGTGATCTACACGGACGCCCATACAGTGCCTCGAAAGGTGCCATCTCAATACTTGCCTGGTAGCTATTGTTATAAGAAAATTCAAGTAAGAGCATGTGCTTCTCCCAAGACCCTTTAAAATCTAGCACAGAAACCCTCAACATGTCTTCAAAAATATGAATAGTACGTTCGGATTGTCCGTCGATCTGGGGTTGATAAGCCGTACTGAAGTTCAATTGAGTACCCAAGGCACTTTGAAGACTTTGCCATAGCCTTGCTACAAAGTGAGGGTCTCTATTAGACACTATACTCATTGGAACCCCATGGAGGCAAACAATCTCACGGATGTAAAGTTCAGCTAGAAACTCTATGGAATCTACCATGCTCATGGCGAGGGAGTGAGCTAACTTGGTAAGTCTATCCACAATCACTCATATCGCATCATTGCTTCTTTGTGTTCTAGGAAGGCTAGTGACAAAGTCCATGTTGACATATTCCTATTTCCATTCAGCAACCGGGAGAGGTTGTAGCAACCCAGCTGGTCTTCGGTTTTCATCTTTAACTTGCTGATAGGTTAAACACTTGGCCACAAACAGAGCCACATTCTTTTTCATACCTCTTCACCAAAATTGGTGGCTTAGGTCATGATACATTTTGGTGCCCCCCGGATGCACTGCTAAGCGTGAGTGATGGAAGTCTTTTAAAACTTCATTTCTCATGGATTCAGGCATGAACAGTTGGTCAAGGTAACAAACACTAGAATCCGCATGAACATTTAAACCCCTCTCTTCCTTCCCTTTAGAGATCTTCTCCTCGATTAAGTCTACTTCTGGGTCACCCAGTTGTGCTTCAACTGCTCTTGTGACAAGGGTAGGTTGTGCGATAACGGTGAAAAGAGTAGCGTTTTTCGAAGATTCACCAAGTTGCAAGTCAAATTCATTGGCATCCCCCATCATCTTCCATTTCCTTATCGCTAGCCTAGCCATCATACTTACAAATTTTCTACTCAAAGCATCCGCTACTACACTGGCCTTACCGAGATGGTAGTGTATCTCAAAGTCATAGTCATCTAGAAACTCCATTCATCATCGTTAGCGTAGATTCAAGTCTTTTTGGGAGAATAAGTATTTAAGGCTTTTGTGGTCGGAGAAAACTTCAAACTTTTCACCATATAGATAATGTCTCCACAACTTCAAGGCAAAAACAACGGCAACGAGTTCTAAGTCATGCATTGGGTAATTCCTCTCATGAGTCTTCAATTGGAGTGAACCATACGCCATCACCTTGCCTTCTTGCATCAGAACACACCCTAATCCTTATCTTGAGGCATCAAAATATATCATATAACCCAAACCACGTTCTGAAATGATAAGGACTAGGGCGGTAGTCAATCTAAGCTTTAGTTCTCGGAAGGAATTTTCACAAGCTTCATTCCAGATACACTTCACTCCCTTATGGGTTAATCTGGTTAATGGTGATGCTATGGAAGAGAAGTTCTTTATGAATCGACGGTAGTAACCAACCAAACCCAGAAACCTATGAATTTCTGAAGCGTTTTTAGGTTGTTCCCAATTCTGCACGGCTTTTGTTTTTGAGAAGTCTACCATAACCTCGTCTCCTGAGACTACGTGACCCAAAAACTTCACTTCGAGAGGCTAGAATTCACATTTCTCATATTTTGCGTACAAACGATGCTCCCTAGAAGTTGCAGAATAGTACGAAAATGCTCTGCATGCTCCTCTTCGGAAGATGACTAGATCAGAATATCGTCTACAAAGACAACCACAAATTTGTCAAGAAACTCCTGAAAAATCCTATTCATTAAGTCCATGAATGTGGCCGGAGCATTAGTAAACCCAAATGGCATAACCAGGAATTCATAGTGACCATACCGAGTGCAAAAAGTGGTCTTTGGAATATCTTCCTCCCTAACTCGGATTTGGTGATAGCACGACCGTAAATCTATCTTGGAAAAACAACGAGAACCTTTAAGTTGGTCGAAGAGATCATCTATCCTGGGCAAGGGGTATTTATTCTTTACTGTGACTTGATTCAATTTACGATAATCTAAACACAGTCGTAAGGTCCTGTCATTCTTTTTCGCAAACAAGGCCGAGGCTCCCCAAGGTGAGGTACTAAGACGTATAAAGGCCTTATTGAGCAGATCTTGCAATTGTTCTTTCAAAACAACCAATTCAGCTGGGGAAAACCTATATGGTGATAAGGAGATAGATGTCGTACCTGGAAGTAAATCTATAGTGAACTCAACTTCCCTATGAGGAGGTAATTCTGTAAGATCATCAGGAAAGACATCGAGATATTCACATACTACCTTTAGAAATTCACCCTGGACTACGCCACTTCCGTTATCCAAAAAGGCTGCTAAAACAGAATTAAACTAGCTCCGACCACGTGGATACCATGAAGAGGGTAAGGATCTATCGTTCTTATCCTTTAAAAACGTGAAACAATCACCGCTTGAAGTGCACACTGTAACTCTCTGACAGTAACAATTAATCACAGCTTATGTGAATAACCAATCCATACCGAGGACAACATCAAAATGCGACATTTCCAACAGCACAAAGTTAAATGGAAGTTGTCGACCCGCAACCTCAATTACACACCCCTAACACCCCTGGGTCAAAACGACCTTACTCCCAACCGGTGCATCTACTGTAAGTGGAGATTTTAGTCGCCTACTTTCTAACCCCAACAATGATGCAAATGATGTGGTGATAAATGAATGTGATGCCCCAGTGTCAACCAACACATTAGCCCAAGTATTGAAAATGAGGAATGTACCTCTCACAACAAATGGCCCCGAAGTTTGCTCGAAAGCAGTGACAGTGCACACCCTTCCCTGGGACCTTTGCTCCCCTGCATCACCTCTCTGAACATAAGCTTGTCGTGCGGATTGAGCAGACGTGGCTCCCTGAACTTTCCTAGATGCTTGACCTGATTGAGCCGGCTAATAAGACTGCCTCTGTCCCTAACCTATATCTAAACCTCCAGACTACTGAGACCCTGCCACACTAGCAGCTCCGCCCTTTACGGCAAAACTTCTTCAAATGCCCTGGTTGACCACATTGATAACACAGCTGGCTCTAACTTCTATTCTGAGATTAACCTTGTGGATGAGTAGTTTGGGTTTGTGTTCCACCTTTTTGTCCACACACTTCGACCTTGCAGCCCATCTAGCCACACCTATAACACACAATGAACTCGGGCTACATTCCCCGAACTTCCACCCATCACAGAACTAAAGGATTTAGCTTATCGTGGAGGCGATTGGAAGGATGATGATGAATCCCTCAACCTCTTTGGAGAACCCGTGTCACCCCTAGCATCAGGATGTCCTACTCTCTTCAATATTTGCCTTGCCTCGCCTATTCGGTCTCTACAGTAATCTCCACTTGAGTGTAGCTCAACTTTTTCGCACCCCCTCTTGGGAGTCGAAATAAACCCTACAGTTCGAACTCCTGCGGTTCTGAATCTAATCTCACAAGTGCAATATGAAATTGATAAACACCAAAGAGTCCAAATCCGTCAAATCTTTTGAAAAATCGATTTTGAATCAAATTGCCAAAAATGGACTGCTTTGCCAGATATAGAGTTTGTACCTAAATATTTTGTTTTGGGGAAATTTAGGAAACCCATGACTCGTGCCAAAGGCCACGTGTCCGTCATCACCAAGATTGTCTCAGCCTTGGAACTTAGGTATCAGAGGAGAAGGTCATGAATTGAGCACCCCCGCTCGCCCGATCAAAGATTGGCTTCTACTAATCATGATATGAATCTTATTTACATTATATGCTCTTGTTCCGTTTATTAGGCAAGCATTACTATGTGATGCTCACACACACAAGTATAGACTAACTTTGCAAGAATTGGAACATTTTGATTCATGTTTGTTTTCAAAATTGTTTCGAATATGTACCACTTCAAAAAAGCGATCGCATATAAACATTACTCAAATTATTCCAATCCAAGAAACAAGCCTTTATCCACAGGCATTCAAACAATTATAGCACTTAAGCAATTAGCCTCATGGCAAGTATGCTAGACATGGCAACATCAACATTTATGCGATATGCTAAAACGAGTAAAGGCTCACCTAGTACTCCAAGCCAAAAAAGAAACTAGTTAGAAAAATGCATGATTCCAACTATGTGATATGACTAATGCAACACATGCAATGTGTAACTAAATAGGCTCGGCTACTTATCATGGCATATGAATCGATTAAATAGCATGTAGTCTATGCATGTATTCAAAGAAGTATTTAAATGACAATGCAGTTAGAATGATGCACCGAGTCTCGGTGCATGCAATACAAATGGATGCAAACATGGAGAATGCTAAAATAAACATGATGTCCCTAAACTAACCATCATAAGCTAGTAAATAAAATGGAGAAAGACGTGGGGTTGGAAGACATACACGTTATTACAACATTGCGCTCTCATGAAGGAGAGTCCGAATAAACAAACTAGCTAATAAGCTAACTAATTAAAGCTAAGCTACTTAAACTAATTATTACAAAAAAAAAATAAAATTAACTAAACTACTTAACTAATTATTACAACAAATGAATTAACTAACTAACTATTCTAGTAAATTAACGAATTACAAAATGAAATCGAATAACTAGTTAACTAACTAATTAATTACAATACCTTACAAAATCAATTAGCTACAACTAATTAATTACAACAATTTAAACTAAATATGCTCGGTATGCGAAGAATGCTCATGCACATGGCCCGGAAAGCCACCATTTTGCTTCCAGAGAGCCTATGCTGCACAATAGAACATACACACTGTTGCCCACTTCCAGAATAGCTCTGCTTGACCTTAGAAACATACTGCTGAAATTTGCATCAGTGGCTAGCCGGCCAGTGATGAGGCCTGCCGGCTACCAATGATAGCCAGCCGGCCATCAAAGGTGGCCTGCCAGCCATAGAAAGTGGCTTGCCGGCCACTGCTACCCAGTTCACCTTGCTGCAACAAAGAACAAACAGGGCAATGCACAGGGTATTTCAAGGGTGTGTTTGCACAACCCAACCCTTCTGTTCATGAACAAATCAAAGGAGTAGTGAGCTTGGTTCACAAACCATAAACTCAAACAATTTCATTGCATGATGGCATATGAAACCAAGTGTGCAAGTTCAATAAATGCAACAAAATGAGATTCTCAAAACCTCCTCCCTTTCATGGAAGATCAAGGGATGTGATGACCTCGGAGACTTGAGTCATTTCATCACTAGTAAGTATGAAATGGCCCAAGTTTCTATGTGTTCAATTAACGTCCGATTGAACACAAACAAATTATTATCTTACACCATTTTCGCCTCAATTTTAATTACATTTTAAATTACCAACCACTCTTTAATCAATTGAGTCAAAAAGGTGAGTTTAAGTCCTCTAATGGAGTGAAGTACCAAACCAAGAGTTAACTTAGGACATGACAGAGATGTCATGCCGTTGATAATGAACCCCTAAAAGGGATTAAACCATTAAGCATGGCAACCTCAATCTCATGCTTAAAAGAACAAGAGGCTTGAAACAACTCTCAAAGAAAAACAAAAGCCAAGAAAGGAGGGAGGTTGCAGAGATTATTAGTGCTAGAAATGAGTGAGAAAACCATGAATAAATGCTATCAACTCAAAGGAGATGGTGTCTAAGGCCTAGAAAACCAAACTCATGAGGACTGTTACACTCCAAGCATGCAAAATAAAGCTCAAATGCAGCCAACAGCTCAAAACAGTGCTAAAACAGTCTAAAACATGCTGGAATTAAGCTAACAATAGCAAGATTAATATGCTAAAACATGGCACAAACTAGGCTAGTAAACAAGACACACGGAGGGGAGGCTAACCCCTCCAAATTTGGACTTCAAAACATGATTTTGACCACTGAAAAATCTCTAAAAATCAGTGTTTAAAATCTTAGAAAAATATAGTAAAATGGTGGGAAACACAAGGGGAAACACCTTCAAAACAAGGTACAAAGAAGGGTAGAACACCCCTAAACCTTTAATGGCCTTAGAACCCAAGTTTCAACCCAAAAATATAGAAGT